ACAGAACTTGGTATAGGCTCACCACCCACTCAGTACTGAGCACAACCAAACGTTGGCCTATGGTTCGGGTAAAAGTATCTGTAAGTAGTAGGCAGAACAAGAATCAAGGCTTGAATGTGAAAGTGCTACAGGGGATATCTTCCTCGAACACTTGAGGTATTGAATTAGAAAACTCACTTTCTTCACAATTCCCTTGCAGAAACGACTTTGTTCCTCCTTGACTTGATGGCCTTGCTTCTACTTCAATATCGGTGCCTGTGATGGATATAGAATCGTCATCGAGACGTGAACTTGAATCAGCCAACGTTCCAGCTCTCCAATCTTCGTCGCTGAGGTCGTCCTCGTCCTCCATATCATAGTCATCAGGATCGTGTGATTTGAGCACTCGGGAAGTTTTTTGTTTTGATTTGGTGTGAGGATACCTAAACTATAGGGCTATAACATAAGAATAGTGGTGGAGAAGTTAAGTATACTAAAAGGTAGTGAATAACGTGTTGTTAACAAGAAGAGAGGAAACCGCTTGAAGTTAAGTTGGAATGGAAAATTCTGTTGGAGCAGACTAACGTCAAATGAGCCGAGCAGCCGCAAACTACATGTTTGTGCTGATTATATGAACTGCTTTCGACTGCTCCCTAGCTTCGCTTTATGTGATGAAGCCAATCCTGTGCGAAGTTGGCCCACTCTCTATCAAGGGCATAAGCCCGAGGTGATCATGAGCCCCAAAACAAGCTCACAGAAAAGTGAACCAATTCATTTATCTCCGGTGTTCCTTCGGGAAAGCTACTCGCTTCTAAAGCCTGTAGTCTACTACAACAGACAGTGAAGGAAAATGAAATTCTGGTTAAAGGAAACATACGCGCTCCCATATCTACTCGTCAAGAAGTTCATCGATTTGCCAAAAGTCCATTCTTTTCCGATAGCTTTTTTGTTATAGCGAAGATTTTTCTTCCAATAAACAAGTAGGTTGTTCCAGACTCTTCTCAAGAAGCTCACTAAATATGGAAACTGAATGAGCTGAGCAAGACAGAACATTATGGCAGGGACCATTTGTACTAATTTATGTGATAGAGTAAAACCAAAAATAGATTCAGAGAAGGAAGACGCCCTTTTGGATTCCAACAACGCTAAGCGAAACTCACGACCATCAGTGAAGCGCAATGAAAAGACTGTCGTATTACATGCGCACGAGGAAATAAAATGAGCAAAAACTGAGCTAATAATTAAAGCCGAAAGATTTACTCTTGAATCAACGCCGACCTACTAGTTCCCCTCCAATATCATGCAAGGGACTGATAACCAACGAAGGAGTTTGCTCATAAACATCTCAGACTCCCAAATAGTCCCCCACAGCGGAAGAAGATAATCTACATAAGTGGCCGTGGTCTGCCAATAAAACGAAAAACGATCCAAAGTTATGCTTTTTTTTCGAGTTAAAAGAGTTTACTTTGTAAAAGGCATGATTTCAACGTTTGTACCCTTCTCGACGACTGTTTCAACGAAAAAAAGAACGAATTAATTCCTAAGGGAGATTGAGAAGGAAATGCACACAAAAAATACATACCTTGGAAATCGAAGCCATTTTCTTTCATTTGCTTTTGTACTTGCTGCCATGCAGCAAACTTCAGTTCGAGTTTTGGATATTCGGGACATTTGGGATTCCATATCGCTTCCTGTCCTCGAACAAATTCTATCAATTTCGCCTTCCCCTTATCACTTATAACTGGTCCTGGACCAAGTACATTCATTACAGCTGTTTTCTGAAAAAATCGGTGACATGCATTCCAATTGTTTCATCATTAATTAGTGATGAAGTCGTGATAAGATGTCTTGAAGGGTGAGAGTTTTCTCACACACTTGCTGTGCTCACAAACGGTATCAGTAGCCTTATAAGTAATCGTTCTTCGAATGTTTTAGAGTGAAGAAATCAAGAGCTTGGGAGTATTATGGGATTTTACTTTCTAGCATTTCATGTTNCACATTGGTTACCAGAACTCGTTAAAAAACTGACCAACGGTCAAAACTTCTATCTCCCACTCACCCAACCGCATATTTCTCGTCACGCAGACGCTAACCCACAGATCGGTTCCATTGTTAAATCGTTCGTCATACGTACAATTCACCCCAACATTTAATACGACTTTGCCTTCCCATTCCATTCATGGTCTAACATTGTATAGTGGCGTAGGATAGTTTATTGGCTATGGTGGAGGTACAGATATAAATATACTCAATATAAAAATACAATGGAAGTCGCTTCTTGTTTAAATGAACAAATGCTCCAACATAATAGAAATTCGCGAGCGAATTTCAGTCAAACCAATCAACCAAATGATGACCAACCAAGCCCGAAGCCGTTCAGCTTCGATGTCACTCCCCCACTTTTCACTCAGGCCTCTTCTAATGACAATGAATACCATGTTTGGATATGATCTAAAGATAGAAGTAGCCGAAAGTCATAAGAGAATCCGCCCAAGTTTCGCTATATAACTTCCAATCTCGCGACTTTATAAAATACAAAGAAATTATATTACCCTGAGCATAGCGGTAAAGAATAAAAGATGAATGACGTTCTCTGGCATAAATCAATCCCGTTTTTGGGAAGCGCTCCAGCACACCATCATTACAAATTACTTCGGCGTGTTGAATGCGTATGTGGCCACTACAATGGCTTACAGTTGTCATCCAATGAACAGCTCGGTGAGGGTAAGCCGCCACCCTTACAATGTCACCAGTTGTCCGTATTCTAATGACACTTTCTATTTGACCGCAGAAACGACTTAACTTGTATTCCTTCAATAACAATCACCCTTGAGTACCACATTTCTTTACTCATTTAATCTTGACCATGGAGAAATGAGTTCTGTAAGAAACGATATGAACCTATTCATCTAGACTTGAATACGTCTGATTGTTCAACTTGAACCTCTTGGCTGGGAACCTACTCGCACCAGTACCCTAATGTGGAAACTAGCGCAATTAAGATACGGCGGTTGGCTCAGCGACAACTAGAGAATCACAAAAAAAANAAAAAAAATTATAGAGATAGTTTATTTCCAAAACCTGTAAAATGGGAACTAGAGCTCCACAAGAGCAAAAAAGAATAGCTTCTTCTATTGACTGGAGATATGGGGAAAACAAGGAAGGTAAACTGCTTATTTGAACATAATGTGAACATAGCTACCACATTCTAGACATACGGAGAGTTAAGGCTAGTCGACGTCAATTTCCTCAAACAACAATAACGTCATTTCACGCATTCGTCGTTTCGCTTCAGCCTCAGGCATCTCACGAAGGGTCGTAGAGACGAATGCCGCTAGAAAAAAGAGAATCGCTTGTAATAAAGCGGAGTGTACAAAATCAAATTATCGACTATCATACCGTATTTGTCAAATTTATCCCCAGGCGCCTTCGTACTCGACATTTGAGTTGGGTAATTTGTATTGTTTTTACCAACTTTCAAAGCTTTAGCTGAAATTAAATGCATGAAGATATGTTTTGTGTATACGATATTATTATCTATTAACTCACCAAGAGTAACCATCTTGTCCCGTTGCTTGAGTGTGCAGGCATTTGAAAAAGCTGAAATCAGTGCTGTACTTATGCATCCCGTTCACTGATTTAAGATTGAGCAATGATTATTAAGGTGAGCTCCGCACTTACCTTCCCACTGCCTCGCAAATTATCGAGTGCAGTTACTAGAGCGATCGATGGCATTTTTGCCACATTTTGAAATTACTTTCGAACTCACTCCGACTAGCGAAAAGAGTCAGCACATCTCAAGACGACTAATGTAAAAAATGCGTTCGGGAACAACCCAGTATCAAGAAGTAAGCACCAACTCCCCACATTCTACATCTGAGTTTAATATCAGACTAGCTTGGTCCGGTTCTCAGAGTGTTTGTCCCCAAGGTGACTACTTTTAGTAATTGAATAGATTAGATGAACAAAGTCAACATACAAGAAAAATGTGCTCACGTACAGAATGGTTTGTGAAGCGTACCAGAAGTATCAAAAATTTTTCTGAATAAAATTGGAACCGATTACCTAATACCAAAAGGAGATGTGAGATACGGTAGGGCCAATAAAGAAGCCTCGCCGTTTTTCAGATACATAAGAACCACTATTGAGTTTTTCTTCATCATACTGTTTACCGACTCAGTATTCACTTCGGCTTCAATCTCGGCACCGGTACCAGCCTACAGGAGCTTCTACGCAGTCGTTCACGAAAATTATGATCATAATCATGACACACACATTAACCCAAGTTGTTTCAAACGATACTGAATGGAAATATAAAACAGTCATAATACGTACCTTCACCTCGAGAATAAGGTGTTTGACGTTGGTAGAGTCTAGGAGTGTTATCTGGTTCCTCTGAAGACTGAGTTTGACGTTGAGGAGGTTTAGGAACGATATTGGGCTCTTCCGAAGATTGAACCTGGCGTTGGGAAGCCTTGGAAGCGTTATTAGGCTCTTCTGAAGACTGAGGCCTCTCTTTGAAACTCTTCGCGGGAGGTTCGTTGTGGTCTGAAAGTACAATCAATTGGATCTCGGGTTGTGAACCACAGCTTACAATCGACCTACAGGCATTCCATATTAAGGACCAAAAAAACGAAAACTGCACCAAAAAACAAGCACTCAAACCCTGAGAGAAGGCAACTTCATGACCTCTTTTTTTTACAATTAA